ACCTAATATACATCCTTTAACTTTGGACAACCAGGGTATTGGAACAGGAGATATAAGCCACACAAGACAATACACATCCTTTAACTTTGGACAACCAGGGTATTGGAACAGGAGATATAAGCCACACAAGACAATACACATCCTTTAACTTTGGACAACCAGGGTATTGGAACAGGAAATATAAGCCACACGAGACTTAATACACATTCTTTAACTTTGGACAACCAGGGTATTGGAACAGAAAATATAAGCCACACGAGACCTAATACACACCCTTTAACTTTGGACAACCAAGGTATTGGAACAGGAAATATAAGCCACACGAGACCTAATACACATCCTTTAACTTTGGACAACCAGGGTATTGGAACAGGAAATATAAGCCACACGAGACTCAATACACACCCTCTAACTTTGGACAACGAAGGTATTGGAACAGGAAATATAAGCCACACGAGACCTAAAACACATTCTTTAACTTTAGACAACAAGAGTATTCCAGGGTAGTATCTGGTGTAGCCGTTACAGCTGCTCTATTTATAGCTTCTTATGAAGCTGAACGGAACATCTGGGATTTGTCATTCGGGATGCTTTAGGTCTAGGGGCTGTGAAGCCGCCATGTAGTAGTCTTTATGGAGAAAACAGACAGACCTGAGCAATGCAGGGGACATAAATACGGGAGACATAGACGGATGCAGGGTGAGTCTGTGAAAATCCCTGTGTCCAGTCGATTGCAGACACCGTCGGAGGCAGCAGGATGCTATGATCAGGGACACCTGTGAATGTCATCTGAATGTAGATGTAGATTTGTCATTCAAGTACCAGAGGTTACAGATCTGACACATGCAGAACAACGTGTACTTATTTATTCTCAGATTTAATATTTGTCATATGACATCAATAACGCCACAGGGATAAACACATATACACCAATCTGAATACATGGTAGGAACAGCTAATCACCCTGACAAACACTCATACCTATGGAAGAGATGTTCATTATGAAGTTAATCTGCTTAGTCACCACTTGGACAAAGTTCTGAGAGACCATTTATGCCTTCATCTGTATGTTCTTCATTGTATGTCTTCTCTGACAGGTCAGACACGCTATCAACTAAACATGCAAACATTCAAATAAAGCAAATAGATTGAGAAAATAATGTAGTGTGTGTGTGGGTGGGTGGATGTGTGTGTGTGTGTGTGTGTGTGTGGTATGTTTTTCAAGATGCAGTATGAATATAGTAAGAAATTTTATCATAGGCAGAGGCAAAAATGTATGTAATGACAACTTTGAAGAACCAATCAAAACTTACTGTACAACCATGTGACATTTTATTCCATTGGGCACTGAGAAATGTTGACTATTCTGTGCCTATGTCACAATAATTATGTGACTCATTAAACCAACATGAGATATATTTGCAAACAATAAAATGACATAAGTGTGTGTGTGTGTGTATATATATATATATATATATATATATATATATATATATATATATATATATATTAGGGCTGTACCGAATAGGGATTTTCACTATTCGGCCCTATACGAATAGTGGGACCAACTATTCAGCCGAATACAAATACGAACAGTGTATCATCATCAGGTGCCTTGTCGACTGGCGTGGGCCTTGCCACAATCTGTGATCTTCTGCAGCATGTATTAGTTCGTGTGCTGACACATCTCCATGCCATGCAACAAGACTGTCAAAAATCTTATCTCGTTGTCTTCCTCTATCTCTCCTTCCACAGATCTTTCCAGTGGTCACAACATGTTTTATTTTCCCTCTTCTGATAAATTGCCAAAAAATGATGACTTGTCTCCTTCTGATGTCTGTGATTAGTTGTCTTCAGGCTCCCGCCTCTTTCAAAACCTCTTGGTTGCTTTTTTTCTTTTCTTTTGTCTGTCCAAGGTATTTTAAGTATTGTTCTGTAAACATCTCTGAGGCCTCAAGAAATTGTTTGACCTGCCTACCGATTGTCCAGGATTCACAGCCATATGTTAAAGCTGAATGCTGTACCACGCAACCGGGTCACATTTGCACCCGCTACGACAGACTTAGGCAACAGCAACTATTGTGCTAATGAGAGAGTTATTTCAGTCTATCGCAGTGTATGCAGAAACGGGTGTAAGATAACCACTTAAGATAACCACAGCCTGACCGCAAGTATTTGGCCGAAAGGTTATTTGGTCCACTATTCGGCCCCGAAGCGAACATTCAGTACAGCCCTTATATATATATATATATATATATATATATATATATATATATATATATATATTTCTGTATTTTGTGTATTTATTATAAATGAAGTATTTACGCCTCCAAAATCATGGCCAATATATCCAATGAATTTTCATTTGCTATTATGACAACAATGTTTAATTTAACACTGACACTGTCAGGCCAGGTTTTGTGCATTTCTTTATTTGTTGTGACAATCAGTAAAAGTAAGCTTTTTGCTGGATTTATATCAGTTTGAAAATATTTTCATGTTACTTCCCTTGAAAAGGTTATTTAAAAAAATATTCCGCTGCTATCTTCCTTGAAACCACATAACTACATGTGTCTGAGGCAATACCTTTGTCTGTCTCCCTATCTGTTCAATATTAGTGTTATTATGACATGGAATGCTTAGGGTGCACTTAAAGGCAATTTTTAAAGACATGGCTGTAATGAAGACAAAGATGAAGTAGAAGACGGAACATTCAATATAGGGTGTTAATTAGACCCCTGTTTCTACTAGGCCTACATTTAAGGCAACAGTGCAGACCACCAGGATGTAGAGGGTGTGAGAATAAGACTTTCTTTCATTATCCTGGATGAAGCCGGGCGATTAAATCTAGTTTTATATATATATATATATATATTACTAGATTTACCCGGCATAGCGAAAAAAATCTTTTTCTCACATCCTCATAGTAGGCCTAGTGGAAACATGGGTCTTATTTAAACCCTTTAGTTAATATTCCATCTTCTATTTCATCTTTGTCTCCACCAATGCTGTATCTTTCGTCATTGCCTCTTAGTGCAAGCTATATCACCCAAGTTAAAAATGTGACCATGAAAGCAGCATGAGTTATGATCAACAAAACAACAAGAGTTATCTTTTCATGACTAATGAAAGCTACAGTAATTATGAAACTAAAAATTTCAAATAAAAATGACAGGTTATCAACTAATGCTATTAAGAGACAACCCAGGCTGAAGACCTCAAACATGAGATAAGAAACACATGAGGAAACAGACTTAGGAAAAAATCAGAATACTTTTCGGTATGCCAGACAAGCAATGAAGATGATACTAAGTAGGAACTTATGGCACAACAAACGTTTCAAGGAAACATTAGTTCTCAATATATACATGCTGGCGCAATGAAACATTTAACAAGAATGACTAAAAATACCATAATCAGGATACCTAAGCATGGTTTTGTTTTTGATTGTACAGAAATGACTGTGATAACAACAATAACCATTACTTACTAATTCTTTATTTTAATTGAACAAAGAAATCACAAGCACGGAGAAGAATGTTTAGGACATCACGGACAGCGTAGAAGATTGAGAATATCCTGGACAGAGAAGAATTGGTCTCTGTGGCTTTGGGGCTATGAACGATGTTTGTGATTCCAAACTACTTTGTCAGATTCCTATTTGTATATCTCTTTCCTGTGTCTAGATTACTGATTTAAAAAAAAATGTAATAAGGCAATTATAGACACAATGATAGCATTAAGAGTTCGACGAGGACATGAAACCTGGTATTGACACATGAAAGAGGTACACAATCATGGAACACAATGTGAAATGCTTCATTAAGCATTATTCAGAAACAGAATAATGCATTTATAAATTTACTCTTTGGTGGATCCTCCTGAACTTTCTGATGCACCCATGAGAGAAATGTCATGCACCCATGAGAGAAATGTCATGCACCCATGAGAGAAATGTCATGCACCCATGAGAGAAATGTCATGCACCCATGAGAGAAATGTCATGCACCCATGAGAGAAATGTCATGCACCCATGAGAGAAATGTCATGCACCCATGAGAGAAATGTCATGCACCCATGAGAGAAATGTCATGCACCCATGAGAAAAATGTCATGCACCCATGAGAGAAATGTCATGCACCCATGAGAGAAATGTCATGAACCCATGACAGAAATGTCATGCACCCATGAGAGAAATGTCATGCACCCATGAGAGAAATGTCATGCACCCATGAGAGAAATGTCATGCCCCCATGAGAGAAATGCCATGCCCCTATGAGAGAAATGTCATGCACCCATGAGAGAAATGTCATGCACCCATGACAGAAATGTCATGCACCCATGAGAGAAATGTCATGCACCCATGAGAGAAATGTCATGCACCCATGAGAGAAATGTCATGCACCCATGAGAGAAATGTCATGCACCCATGAGAGAAATGTCATGCACCCATGAGAGAAATGTCATGCACCCATGAGAGAAATGTCATGCACCCATGAGAGAAATGTCATGCACCCATGAGAGAAATGTCATGCACCCATGACAGAAATGTCATGCACCCATGAGAGAAATGTCATGCACCCATGAGAGAAATGTCATGCACCCATGAGAGAAATGTCATGCACCCATGAGAGAAATGTCATGCACCCATGAGAGAAATGTCTTGCACCCATGAGAGAAATGTCATGCACCCATGACACTCATACCTGGATATGTCTGCGATTCTGCTCTGTTAAAAGCCGTATATTATATTAAAAGATGTAGATTTTCTGTTGTTTCCCCTTTCATATCTCACAGACACATATATTCAAGTAAAACACATTCAGGGGCTTATTCTAGAGAGGATAACATTCAGATGCACTAATACAAGCGAACATCCACAAATACACACATAAATACATCATTTATAATCACACCTCTTCCCCTTTTTTACACACACACACACACACACACACACACAAACACACACACAGAGCATGCTCTCACAGTAAAACATGGCATTATCGATTATTCAGGTCTTGTATGGACACCCCAGATTTGTGTAGTATCCGCCTGGCTGCCTCTACTATTGGTCCACTGGTGTATTTGACCGTCTCCAGCTCCAGGTCTGGGAACACATCCCAGTGTACACTCAGTGTGTCATTCTGCCAGTTAAAGGCTGCCCCTGTGAAATTAAAATAACCTCTGCTTTATCCAAATGATAAGTATAGGCGTTAGATTCGGATTACGATTGTACAAAAAAAAAAAAAAAGATCTCATTTAGATAAATACTTGTTACATGTCGTCCGTATCGACGTACTAGCTCATCGGTTCGACCCATTCATGTTCCGTCCTCCTATGAATCAGCCACCTCATTGTCTCTGTGCAGGCCGTACCCAGTAGGAGCTGACTAGCATATCTCTTTAATTTTCCCGTAACCGGTGTTTGCATGTTTAACTTGCGTTTTCAAAAATTGGTTCATTGTCTCCGACTCCTTTGTTTAACGTCTCTGGAACGCAGCTCATTCAGTACGTCTGCCCTGTGCATACTTCTTCCTCCGCCTACTACTACAGACATTTTCGATCTGTCGGCTGTTTCCTTTCTTTTCAGCCCACGTGTCCTAATGTGCTGTCAACCCACTCTAGTCGGTGTATGCCAGTTTAGATCTTTAGCATGCTCACTGTGTCTGTCACTTACAGTGTGTTGGTTATCTTTCGGTTCCGCCAGCCAACGTCTGTCACAGCTACTGTCTCCATCATCATGCTAGAATTAGTTTAACCCAAAACCCGACTTTCTTCTTGCAATACTTTTACATTCACCTGCACTGTGTATTCCAACATAGGACCCCCACTCCCCTTTGTAGATGATGACGTCAGCTGATTGAGTGCTCGTGTATAAGGGTCCTTATTTTGCCACCAGTGGCTGTGTGGCTCCATTCTCTGCAATACCTGCGCAGGTTGATGATAATCGCTGTGCTGTACCAATGTTGTTGTTTCTTCTTCTTCTTCTTCTTCTTCTTCTTCTTCTTCTTCTTCTTCTTCTTCTTCTTCTTCTTCTTCTTCTTCTTCTTCTTCTTCTTCTTCTTCTTCTTCTTCTTCTTCTTCTTCTTCTCCTCCTCCTCCTCCTCCTTCGACGTTTCATTCTTATGATAGTGTTTCAGCTATTCACCATCCTCCTCATTCTTCGCCCTATTCTTTTTTCACTTCAGTTGTTTCTTTCCCTCTTCTGAATCTCTTACTGCATATCAGAATTTATTTCAGGTTAGTTGGTGACTTTTATAGTTACCTCAAATGTCCTTTCTTTATATTATATAATGTCAGTAAACACAAAGAAGTAATAAGAATTATAAGAAACAATTTCCGTCACAGTGCAATCCTAAATCAAATTAGACTTTAAGAAGTCAGTGTTAAAACTAGACCTTTGCTTGGCTTGTGCAAAACTCATATGCTTTCATGCTTCTGGCTGGAGGCAGACTAGAAATGAGGATAGTGGTGTTTTTGTCTTGACTACAAGTAGTTTAACTATACAGCTGATGACAATAAATAAACAAAGCAATAACCTACGAATGTGCTTAAGAGGTTCGAGACAGGATGGGTTCGAAGACAATGGTTAGAGTCTATGAGGAAATCTCGTCTAAAAGGGATCATTTTCATGTTTATGCCATGAGACTCTGGTGAAAGAGAGAATAAACAAGCGCACTGGTTTGCTGGCAGGGCTATGTAGGCATAGGAAAAGCAATGGACTAGCCCGATGCTTTCAGATCTCAAGAACTTCATGTCGACAGAACCGTTATCAGTAATAAACACCGTACATCTAGCCAAAAAAGAATAGCAACCAAGCACCGAACTGAGGTTATCAGTCGTCTCACGCTGAGGGAGATCCTGAAGATGTGATCCGAGCGCTTATGGGTGTGACAATACGCGCGGTGACTTCAGAATGTCTTTCCTCAACCTACTTTTATTTGTGTGTATTTTGAAGTATACAGACAAATAGGGATTTGGATACATCCTTAATGACGACCACATCACACCTTTAATTCTCCTGGACCGTTGGTCATATCAAACACTACAACTTTTTCCCAGATGTTAAGTGTCAAGGTACAGAGATAAGACTGACCAAGCAGACTTACTGACTGGAGATTTGCACACCATTTGTTGGTGTCAAATAGTTATTCCCCCTGCCTGACCTTCAGGAACAGATAACAAGGGCTAATTGCCATTATCTCCCCCTGAGGTTACCTAAACTGGAGTGCCGGTCCGACGGTCACTATTGACACAGTGAGCGGAAAATGTTGGCAGAAGAATTGACAAAGTCGGATTTTATTGTGATGACAGGTGAAGTAGACTAGAGGTGTGACTTGTCTTATTTGCTCTGGTCAGATGAATTGACCAGGAGATGCTCTGGTCAGATGAATTGACCAGGAGATCCTAGCGTGGGAATTCAAACAATTGTTGTACAGTCACTGACTGACAGCGAATAAACTTACCCACAGGGAGGAGCTGTGATATCCGTGAATGAGAATGATTTTAGGCGTAATGTAGGAGGAGCTTGATAAAAGTTATAAAGGGCTGAACTTAAGGTCTGGTAAATGAGATCCTGTCTAGCACATGCCATCTGTTGGGCTTAACCTAAGCTTGAGACAGAACTTTTGGCATCGTGGTTTCATTTTTCCAGGTAAGATCGAAATTAGGTTCAAATCTATATTTTATGATAGAGATCTAACTGTCTTTTTACTCAAGTGTGTGTCTTCATCACTTTGTAATACTCCTAGGCGGACATTTCTTCATTCTCGTAGGGCACTGTCACATTGCTTTATATCCTATTTGATAGTGTCATGAATGTTTTTTCGTGCACATGTGTTTCAATGTTGTAAAACTTAAATGTTGTTGTTGCCATTGAAATTTAATGAACTATCATGTTTTTGAAATCACAAGCGTGAAGATAACTTTGACGATCTTTTCACGTGTGGTTAATGTGAATCTGTATTACATACAGCTAACACACTGAAATGTGTTTAACTCTCGGGAGGCAAATGCGGAGATTGATCCCGGAGAGAAAATCCTTGAGATTTGGTATTTGATTCGCCTCAGAAATATTGTTAGCTTTCTGGGCGCGTCGATTGTTCCAAGCATAGATTCCAGAACTGGTTCTGTCTGACTGATTGTCATTTTGAGTCTGTACGAGAGCTGGCACCTGACGTAGAAGACTTGACTATCATTACAGGACGTGTAGAGGAAGGCAGAAGATGTAACAGTTGGAATGTGAGACATAAGCCCTTCCAAATTGGACAGGAGTGAATGTGAGCACGAGGGAGAGATGAAATGTTTTATTTAAATAAACATGCTTGATGTTAGTATAATATACATGCTTAGTGTACATCTAGAGCAGATACTACAAATATGCGCTTGTTTCTTCATTCTCCAGTTCCCACATTGGGCAGGGACTAGTAGGCATCCATTATTTGCCGACCGTCGAGTGTAACGACCTGCAGAAAGCAGTGAGGACGACAAACTGGAAAAGATAGGCAGGGTCTCAAGCCGAGAACTGTCCTGATGAGCTAAGTTATGTACAACTTTAATGTCATCTATAACATCATTTCAACTCTACTAGCCTAAACAAGTTCATTTTAATTTCGATTTATTAAATAAATCTTTTTGATGTTGTTACACAGAGTTAAGTAAATTGTGTACTTAGGTTCAAGTGTCTTTGTGCATATTAGTTTACTTCAGCTAACAAATATTTAAATCACTTGATGGGGGCTTTTTAGCAATGCCAGGAGAGGAGACCAGTCGCAGGGGTTAACTGAGCACCTGGATTATATCACAGTGGGTGTATCCAGATATCTATCTATCCCTTCTCCTTCTCCTGTGGATACAAGTACAGCAACTTTCATTTCATGGAACGAGCCACTCGCTGTTTTCTTGGCTATCCAGGACTGTCTAGGATCAACATAGCTTAGATAATAGTCCAGTTTCTCACGTGGGTGGGCATTGTTAAGGATCAAACCCACACCCTCACTATATCAGTGTATTTACCCACGTGGGCGCGCGACAATGGGCAACTATTGTGCTAATGAGAGAGTTATTTCAGTCTATCGCAGTGTATGTGTTTTTAGGATGTTCAATCAGTAATTTTGTTCCAAAATGTAGATACCTCGTTCAATAGTTAAACGTTGAATGTAACAATGTCCAAAGAAAAGAGCATTTCACATGATGAAGCATATTCCTTGTAAAGACATCTTTGTCAGCTCAGATGAGGACATGCTCCTCCAGAGCTAAAAAACGATCAGTCCTGTTTTGAGGTGAATCATGGACAGCAGATCCTTGGTAAATTATTTAAAACATGAAGAGATGCCTTTTTATGGACAAATGATGAGAACACCAGAGAGATATAACAAACGTAATGAAGATGTCTTGATATAAACCAACTCACTAAGACAACTAGTCACCCGCATCAGTAAAAAAAAAAAACAATTCACATTCGATAGATGTCATGGGAAGGGGAAATAACTGGAGCCCATCATGAAGAAAGCTGGAGTGAAAAGGGGAGGTGAAATGTAGAGTGAGGGTGTTAATGAGTTTGACATCGTGAACGAACATCTGCATCTGAAATGATTGGGCAGTACAATGATTGTGAACAAAAACGATGGCCAACATATACAATGGGAACGATAAGAAGATGACAATGACACAAACTGTCAAGCTCTGTTCAGACTAACTATTCTTACACTTAAGTGACAATAATACATGGGGTTTAAATAAAAGTCAGAATCACATCTGGTCAATAAAATTGAAACAAATACAGAGGTATGCTTGCAAGAATATATACGTTAACTGTAGCAATATAAATTACCACATTTGAAAAACTTGCCTTGAGGGTTTTCATTCAAAGGTGCCCGATATCCTGGTTGCCAGGTTGGATGACAGTTTTGGTTGAGACATTTAACCTGCAAATGTCTGTCTAAAAACATAAGCTCTGGTTTCCTCTCCAACATCTGTACGTTAAAACAACAATGAGTCACACAAAATTCTACCGTAGGCTGTCTTTATGAAACATAATTCCCTGATAGTTAAGTAAATGTATTTAATGAAAGGTTGTATGAGTAATAGAGAGGCTATATGATCACTGTAATACGTGAGACCCGGATTAGAATCTTCAGTAAGATAATGGTGGGTCATTTATTCCCAGGAACACCAGTCTTACTTGCACAGATCGGGATGACTGCATTGGCCAAGCGACCTTAAACCCCAAGGCTCACGCTCCCGTGTCACAGCCGCCATAAGCTGGTAAACTTCCACAAATATTGTGAAATAAAACGTTGCTGACCTTGATAAAGGACCAGTCCCATACCCTTGGGCGTGTTGGGTATACAGTGGAACTCAAATATTCGTCCACGCCAATTTTCGTCTTGTTAAAAATGTGTCCTATTTTTATTATTGCTATTTTTGTTTGAAATGTGCATTTTCGCCCCTCCTCCGAAGTGGACGGCGAGCCATGAGAAGAGGAAAAAGTGGATGATAGGCTGGTTCCAAATGTTCAAATTAGGGAATGGCTGTCTACTTGGGCTAAAATGCGGGTTTTCATGGAGAAATAACACCCCAAAATCGTTATAGTTAATCAAGGTATGAGTTAAATTCATAATGATGTGTGTGGTTATTTTCGGAAACAGAATAAAACAACAAAACAAACAACACAAGAAAACTTCTTTCTGAGCCCGTGAATTGTCTGGAAATGCTGATATTTCATCCACACATCATCATCAGAAGTGACATCTCCTAATGTCATAATGGAAGGTGATTCCCCTTCCAAACAACAGTCATGATTTATTTATTTTTTTTTTTTTTTTAAATTCAAAGGGTAACTTTCTTTTTAAAATTTAGTTAAACTGTGTATGTGTTAAAAAAGAAATGGGTGAAATTAGGGGTTGGGGACTGATTAAACTATCTCTTGTTAATTATGATGGGAACGATTCGTTTAAAATTCGTCCTTTTTTAATATTAGTATTCCCCTCAAGAACTGATTAATTTGGAGTTCCACCGTCTAGTCATAGACCTATATTTTAAACACATCAGTGCTTAGTGGGTTATGTAACTTTTTAAACCCAAAGATTGAATCTAAAGAAAAAAGTTACCTTATAGGCCAAGAATTGATCCACAAACCAAAATTGCTGTCTGGGATTCTGTGAATGTAGATTTCTCAACTTGAGCAGATATTCAGAGTTTTTCTTGGCCATGATGGTCGTGTGAGAGATTGAGTCGGGCCATGAACCATACAGACTCCAGTCCGGAGAGGCCACTGCTTCGTAACTAGAACAAAAATAAAACATGATCAAGAGCATTTCCAGCGAACTGTGGCTAGGGCGGGATTCTACACAGGTCTCGCTAGATTCTAACATACACATAGGAACCCGATGGAGAAGCTTGCTGGGAAACACTGTGGCAAGCGTAACAAAGACACACAGGGCCATTTCTAATGACGGCCTTTTACTTGCTGTTTGCCTTCTGAAGGTCCTTTTAGAAGTAAATATTTACATCATAATTATATAAAAGCCAGGACCTGAAAATATAAGGAACGTAATCGAAGTTAAACCAATCAATTGACAGGTCTTTTGCACATTGGTCATCGATAATTTTAAGGGGTAGGGTCTTCCCAACAATTGGTTTTAAAAAAAATCGCCATTGGTTGACAATATTTTTTTACAGTAAAAAAATACACGTGTTGATCGGCATTTATAGACTGAAGATAAAAGTTATTGTCGAGAGATTTCACTTAATTGTATCGTGCTCTCTCCCATATAGCAAGGTTTCTCTCTCCGCAGAACGGCTAGTGCCTGCCGATCGCGTCGCACAAAGCCCGAACTCGGTAGCTGCAGCGACGATCCTATAAAATCTCAACTCCGTACAACTTGCAAACGTGAACTGAACGACGCATGGATAAACGAACCCATGACCTTCAGATCGATAGGCATCACTAGTTCGCCAGAGACTCCGGATGTAGAACAGGTAGAAATAAAGGACACACTAAACCTAGAAAGCATGAACATCCACAAACTATAGTTACCATGTCTTATACTGTCTGGTGTGTTCTTTAATAATTCAACATCTTTCTATGAGTAGGGTCAACACATGTTTATGTGTGTGAGTTTTGCGTGTGTGCGCGCGTGTGTGTGTGTGTGTGTGTGTGTGTCTGTCTGTATGTGTGTCTGTCTATGTATATGTGTACAAGTCTTGTTTGAAAAACGTCCTAGATGGTTTGAAAAGTGTCCAGTTTGATTTGAAAAACGTCCTAGAAGGTTTGATAATCTTCCAGTTTGGTTTCAAAAGTCTTTGGTTGGTTAAAAAAATGTTTAGTTTGTTACGAAAAATATCCTAGCTAGCTTGAAAAACATCCTGTTTAAAGTGAAAATGACACACACACACATTTGTTTGTTTATTCAACGGTTCAACATCATGACATACGCACACACACATAAACGTTTCTACGACCCCTATCTGTTCAGCTCTACAACTACATGGGGGGGGGGGGGGGTGCTACCAAATAGCGTGTCATTCGAGCTCTGGTGTGGATTAATTCCGCAGCAAAGATTGTGGACAGACGTGTCACTCTAGCTCTGGTACGTGTTGGCTGTCAATAAATCAGTCATCTATTGAGCAGGAATGACTGGGTAGTCCAGTTTCATGTCCCAAACACCAGTACACTCTACGGTTTTTAAGCCTTTACCTACCCCCCCCCCCACACACACACACACACACACAAAAATTAATGGCCGGGGGAGGGGGAGGGGCTAGGTCCGCACCGCTAATAATTGTTAGGGAGCAAACGCCCTACTTCCCCTCACCCACCCCCAATAATTGTTAGAGACCAGACTCTTCAATTCCCACCCCCACCCTCAATAACTGTTAGGGAGCAGACATCTCCCCCACTGCCCCTTCCTCAACTCCAGTAACTGTTAGGAGCAGACGCCTCCCAAATTCCCCTGATTATTTACACAGACGGTTCAGTGTCCAGAGGCAAAAGAAGTGCTTGAGGTTTCTTAGCAAAAGTGAATGGTCGGAGTTTGGTGCAGTAGAGCCTAGCGTATGATACCGCAACAACCAGCTTTAAAATGGGGGTGGAGGCGGTCACTGCAGCTTTCCACTAGTTAGAGAACAAACAAACAAACACACACGCACGCACGCACGCACGCACGCGCACGCACGCACGCACACACACACATCGTGATTGTAACTGACTCAGAAATGCTTCGTGCAGAGTGGCATGTTTCACTGCGGAGGACACGGGTGAGGAGTATTAACCGCTTTTTTTTTTTTTCAACGGGACAAGCTGGTGTGTTGGGAAAAGAACAGGCTGATAGACTGGTTGGCTCTGCACAACTTGGTGGAATACTGATGCATGATAAGGCAGATGTGGTTAGTGACTTGTGGGAGAGTGTGTACAGTTCGGAGGAGCAGATGGATTAGATCACCACAGTCTGATAAGATTGATGCAGCGGGGAGTGACGAGAGGTTCTGGCAGAAGCTTGAGGCTCAAAGGAAAGGCAAGACGGACGTTTAATCAGAATGCTACTGGCACCATTAGTAATGTGAACTCTTCACTGGCTGCTGAGGATGAGGACGGAGCTCTTATGGGAGTGCTGTGATGTCAGTTCTTGAATCAACTTAACTCAACTCTATAATGAACAACAATACAAACAATAGATTAAAAAGGATATTATAAATAACTTCTCAGGTTTAATTAGAAAAACAATGGAAAATTGCACAAAACAATATACTTGTCAAAGAAGGTACACAGAAAAGATAATAGCAGCTGAAGAAGACAGAATCAGTGTACTAGTACATCGACAACACACAGACGGGAACAGAGAGACTGACTAATGGATCAACATTATCAATGGATATATTGGCGACAGAAGATGACATACTGGATCTTGTCAGATCTTGTCACTTCGTCACAATGGCTAGTGAAGCTGTGAGAGGGGCTAAAGTTCCGGTAGAGAGGTGAAAGATAACAATTCTGGTGAGGGGGTGGTAAAGTTTAAGTCCCTGGTAGAGGGGGAAATATATCCTGGTGAGAGGGTGGGAGATCTAACACCCCCGATTGAGGGGTGAAATGTATAAAAATCCTGGTGAGGGTGCGGGAGAGCTTAAGTCCCCTGTAAAGGGGTAAAAGAGATAACAATCATGGCGGGGAAGGGTTTGGGAGAGCTAAAGTCCCCGGTAAAGAGGCAAACGAGATAATAATCCTGGCGGGGAAAGGGGGTGGAAGAGCTTAAGTCCCCGGAAGAGCTGTGACAGAGATACAAATCCCGGCTAGGGGATGGAAGAGGTAACATCCCTGGTGGAGGGTAAAGGAGATACAATTCTGGGTAAAGGGGTGGTAGAGCTAAAGTCCATGGTAAGAGGGTGAAGGAGATACAATTCTGGCGGGGGGGGGGAGGGGGTGAGAGAGCTAAAGTCCCCGGTAAAGGGGTAAAAGAGATAACAATCCTGGCGGGAGGAGGAAGTGGGAGAGCTAAAGTCCCCGGTAAAGGGGTAAAAGAGATAACAATCCTGGCGGGGAAAGAAGGTGAGAGAGAGCTCAAGTCCCCGGTAAAGGGGTACAAGAGATAACAATCCTGATGGGGGAGGGGGTGAGGGAGCTAAAGTTCCCGGTAAAGGGGTAAAAGAGATAACAATCCTAGCGGGGGGGGGGGAGGAGGTGGGAGAGCTAAAGTCCCCGGTAAAGGGGTAAAAAAGATAAGAATCCTGGCGGGGAAAAGGGGTGGGAGAGCGTAAGTCCCCTGAAGAACTATGACAGAGATAAAAATCCCGGCGAGGGGATGGGAGAGGTAACATCCCTGGTAGAGGGTAAAGGTTAAGGGGTGGTAGAGCTAAAGTCCATGGTAAGAGGATGAAGGAGATACAATTCTGGGTGAAGGGGTGGGAGAACTAAAGTTTATGGTTAGAGGGTGTGTCACATATCACTCCTGTCGCGTGCCTAATGTAAGGATTTCTCCTTCAGAACCAGCAGCACTCAGAGATAATTTTGTTGAGTCGTTTGGCTCGTATTGGTCTAAGTGATTCCCCGTGGCCCAATGTGAGGACGATCAACTTATCTCTGGAGTAGGGCAATCAGTATTGGCACTACAATATGGTCAATATATGATATATAATATATTCTAGGCACACTTGGCTGGACACCGCCCACTACTTACTAAGACAAGCCCCCAGTTATGATAGTTCATTATCATAACCATGTTAACACCTCTAATGAGATCAATACACATACTGCTAAACACTTACAGGTGACATGAGAAACCTTAAGTCACCATGAAATGAATGTCATAGTATTAGTATAATATCTGTATCAAAAACAATTAAGTGAATTCCGCTATCAGAAAGAATTTCAGCACTAATGTCTAATCCTAGGAAACTAGCGACAGCGGTCCTGAGGGGGACATCTTCTCGTCATTGACACGGGGAGCTGAGAGGAACACAACATCTGTGTAAGCATTAGACTTATCTTCTCTTTCTCGTCTATGATGCCCCCCTCAGCTCCCGGTGATTTTTACTGTCTTTGACTCGGGGGGTCGCCCCTGGGTCAAGTAGCAAGATATTCAATCAGCAACTGTATCGTATCTGCAAATCTCTATTACCCGTAAGGGCAACAAAGTCTTTTTACCCCATTTAAACTTGGCAGGGGGCTGTAGAGGCACAATCTCCCCCATTTTTTGGGGATTCAGAACCTTCACAGTGTTGTGGGGGTAACAAGTTTTCTGGTGGTAGGGTTTGGTGGGTTTGTGAGACTTTAATCTTTGCCAGCTCTTCAGAAAAAATTTCATCCCAAACAATGTAAAAACTGCCCACCAATTGCCTTGAAAATTTTTAAAAATATACAGGCCAAATTAACAAAAACGGGCTTTGAGAACGGCAGGAGAATGGGGTTCAGATAACATTTCAGGTGTTGGTACAAAAGTTCCTTGATACTGGGGGAAGGGGTAAATCGGTTTCCAAAAACCCAATTTAAATCCGAAATATATCCCCAAGAGATATACTTTAAAGTGGGTTTTTGTTAAAATAACCAGAAAAGGCAGACTATAAGTTTTTTCCCCAAAACAGGCCCCATATTTAGAAAAAGGGACTAATATTTCTGGGCAGTCCAAGTTAAATTTTGTGCAGATTAAAGGTAAGACAGGGGTTTTCAGCCTTACAAACCCTGTGTAATGACTTCTTTACGACAGACCCCCCCCAAAAAGGAAGAGGTATACGCGAATGAAAAATGATCAGCCATTTAACTCTATACTCTATTTCGCTTGCTATCACCTTCA